GTGTGAGGCTCAAATTTGGAAATACAAAAGGCAGAGAGAGTGAGACACCGCCATGGCTGCAAAAACCCGGTTGCAAGCTACCCGGGTTAGCCCCGCCAAGATAATGATTAGACTTTCCCGTGCCCGACCCAACTCAACAAAAATAATAATCATCACGGCCTACACGTAGAAACATTAAAACCATCAAACATAGCATGTACTCTGCAATATGGAGAAGAAATCCCATGATTGAAATGAGAATAAACTGCACCTTCCACAATTTTCGGCTTTTGAATAAATATATATTGGAAAATCGGTGGAATAGAAAGGTTGTTGGTTTTTGTAAATGAGAAGTAATATTGGGATGATGAGTACACCACAATATATTTATTTTATTTTATTTTTAATTTTTAATTTTTATTGAATTATGAGTATAATTGTGAACTTTTTATGGTGTATTTATTGAAAATATATTTTAATTGTGGTGTGAATATAATGTGGTGTTTCAGGTAAATCTTGTGGTGACAATATAATTATCTAAAATAAAAATCACTCTTATCCTATGAAGAGTTCTGCTGCTGTGCCAGGTCTGTAAAAGACCTGCCACAGCCATGTGAGATGGGGTGGGTGGGTGGTTTAACATTTTTGGGGGGTTTTTTAATGAGTTAGGTCCTCGGGACCCACCTCATGTGAGATAATCTGTACAAAATCTGTGAACCAAAATCTGGTAGAGTAGAANATTTATATTTGAATTGTGTAACATTTGGGTGTGTTTAATTTTGGAGTTGTGCTGCTGTGCCAAGTCTGTAAAAGATCTGGCACAGCCATGTGAGATAGGGTGGATGGGTGTTTTAACATTTTTGGGGGGTTTTTTTAATGAGTTAGGTCCTCGGGACCCACCTCATGTGAGATAGTCTGTACAAAATCTGTGAACCAAAATCTGGTAGAGTAGAATAATTCTCCTCTGAATTGTCGAATTTACCCCTACTAATTACAGTAAAGATCAACAATACCCTCTTGATTACGAATGGTTTCTCCGTAAAAACTGAAAATCACTTTCTTTTTTTTTTTTTTGCTGGTTGTACGGGCCGATGTGGCCTTGTACAATCAGTATAATTGTTTTTAGTGGAAATTGTGTTTGAATCTAATTTTGAGGAAAATAGAAATTTTGGAATAGTGATTGATGTGAGAATGTGTGGTGGAAAAGTGATGAAAAGTTTTTGATTTGTGTGTAATATTATTTTCTTTGAAGAATATGTGGTTGAAATGAAGAATGAGAATGAGA